AGCTATGTGTTGGCAGAAAAAGGAAGCGGTACAGTGAGATTTATAATAAATGTTTGTTCTTCTCAACATTAAACTCACTCTCGTGTGTTAAGCTTTCAATATCACAGACCAGACAAAGCCATCATGTCATGTGGACTTCCAAAAGTATTAAAACAATCCCCTTGTTTTTCTGTTGATGTGACTGATAAGTTTCCACATAAAAGCTGATGACTGGCTTCCAGAGTATTCTCTGTAACTGCCCGTTGTGTCACTTCACCTTGCCTTACTGTAGCTGTTAGTTGGTAAAATGCTGTGAAGTCATTTAATAAAATATTTTTTTGCACTACTCAAGAAAACGTCTGTCGCTCAATGCAGGATGGACACATCTGTGTAGTTTTATTCACACTGACATTGAGTTCAAGGTGCATGAAACTGATGGTGATGCTGACATTAAACTTGTGATGCTCCTCTGCTGTGATACAAAAACAATAAATGGAAGTAAAATGTTAGCTCCACAGGAATAATCTTTGAAATGCAGCCTTTCACCTGTATTATGACTAGCTTGCCATTTAAATAAAAGATTTTCCACTGTCTACTTATTAAGAATACAATAATCTTTGTTAAATATGAGCACGATGGAAAAACTTAATACTTTGTTCAAAAATATTCTCACTGAAAAAAACCTCTAAAGTCGTGACATGAGCAAGTCTTACAGTACGATGATTTTATTTTGATAGGAAGTGCTTGGCAGAGTTTCACAAACTCAGGCACTGCCGTGCATGCTGTTTGCATGAGCGGTCTGTCATCTGCTGTGTCTGTCTGATGAGGAGCTAACTTCTTCGTCCGCGTAGCCGCTGCTGTCCGACTGCATGCTGTCACCGCGGACCACTTCACCTATACGAGGGAGCAAACGCAGTCAGACATGTTCTCCAAACTCTGGGAAGTGCAGCACAAGTGCAGCAGCACACTGACCTAAATAGGCACAGAAACACACCTGCAGAGCTACTCGTGTACACATCTGTCAAGCTCTCATCTGATGCTGAATTCATATTCATGCTCAAACATACACACACCAGCCACTTTAGCAGGTACGACCAGTTATTAACACGTTTATCTAATCGACTAATCACATGGCTGCAAGTCAGGCATGTTCAGACATGATCAAGGTGACCTAGTGAAGTTCAAACTGAGAATAAGAATGGGAAAGAAAGGTGATTTAGATTAAGTGATATGAAGCGTGGCGTGGTTGTTGGTGCCAGATGGGCTGCTCTTTGCGTTTCTAAGCTTTACAGAGAATGGTGCAAAAAAGAGACAACAACCAGTGAGCAGCAATTATCTGGGTGAAAAATTCCTTGTGGATGTCAGAGGAGAATGGCCTTGCAGAAGAGCGTCTCTGAACACACAACACATCGGACATTGAAGCATTGAACCTTCCTATGGTGTGATCAGATTCTGATGTAAACAACACGAAAGCACG